AGGAGCAGCCATCCAGACGGCCAATCTGAGGGGAGGGGGGGAGGGAAAGGGGGTGGGGGTGGGGGGGAGGGGGAGGGAGGAGGAAGAGAGGGGGTAGAAGGGTAGAGGAGGGGAGAGGGGGAAGCAGAAGATAGACCCCAGCTTTAAAGAGCGACTAACTTTTAAACTTTTTTTAACTCATAAACATACTTATGCAGTATAAGTATGTTTATTGTAGTGCTGTCTACATATCCTGGTAATTTTCTTGACATTTTAGTTCAAATTAAATAAAATATCACATTTGAGCCAAAAAACGCTGTGTGGTGCCCTCTCAACCTTTTTGGTGGTACTACATTTGAATTTGGTCCTGGCCTCTCCATTGACTCTGAAGTTCTCTATGACATCAGTTGTTTTGAACCCATTCAACTCTCTCACACGCCCCAGTTTGGAGTATTCTGGCGCCATCTAGTGGATTAAAATTAAATTACATGAGTCATTCTGAGATTATTGAGTGTGATTAGGTTCAGGTGTGTAGCTTTACAATTATCTTAGTGTGTAAACAAGGGTGGAATGAGACTTTCTGGTCTGTAAACTATTGCTTTAAGCAGCAATGACAACTGTATTTTTTTTTTTGTGACAAGTGAGCTGTCAATCACAGCCCAGACCACGCCCAACTCTAAGCCCCCCTTCTTGTCCCTTAGTCCTCCAGGCAACGCCCTTTTTAGAGAACATTTTCAAATCTTCATGTGGGCGGAGTAAGGCTGGGCACAGGTGTTTAGTCACTCTTTAAAGTGACAGGCCCCAGCTCCAAAGTCCCGCCCCAAGCTCCAAGGTCCCGCCCCCAGCTCTAAGATTCCGTCCCCCAGCTCTAAGGTCCCGCCCCCAGCTCTACGGTCCCGTCCCCAGCTCTAAGGTCCCGCCCCCAGCTCTAAGGTCCCGCCCCCAGCTCTAAGGTCCCGCCCCCAGCTCTGAGGTCACGTCCCCAGCTCTGAGGTCCCGCCCCCAGCTCTGAAGTCCCGCCCCCAGCTCTAAGGTCCCGCCCCCAGCTCTAAGGTCCCGTCCCCAGCTCTAAGGTCCCGTCCCCAGCTCTAAGGTCCCGCCCCCAGCTCTAAGGTCCCGCCCCCAGCTCTAAGGTCCCGTCCCCAGCTCTAAGGTCCCGTCCCCAGCTCTAAGGTCCCGCCCCCCGCTCTAAGGTCCCGTCCCCAGCTCTAAGGTCCCGCCCCCAGCTCTGAGGTCACGTCCCCAGCTCTAAGGTCCCGCCCCCAGCTCTAAGGTCCCGTCCTCAGCTCTAAGGTCCCGCCCCCAGCTCTAAGGTCCCGTCCTCAGCTCTAAGGTCCCGCCCCAAGCTCTAAGGTCCCGCCCCCAGCTCTAAGGTCCCTTCCTCAGCTCTAAGGTCCCGTACCTGTCCTGCGATGGAGCCGCAGGCGCCGGCCGCTCCACTGACCACCATGGTCTGTCCTCTGGTCACATGACCTTTGTCCCGAACCCCGAACAGAGACGTGAGACCAGGCATCCCCACAGCACCCAGCAGGTAGGACACATGGTCACCTACCAGGGACGGGTCCACCTGAGAGGGGGGGGAGAGGGGGAGAGGAGAGAGAGGAGAGAGAGGAGAGAGAGGAGAGAGAGAGAGGAGAGAGAGAGGAGAGAGAGGGAGAGAGAGGAGAGAGAGAGGAGAGAGAGAGGAGAGAGAGAAAGGAGAGAGAGAGGAGAGGGAGAGAGAGGAGAAAGAGAGGAGAGAGAGAGGAGATAGAGAGGAGAGAGAGAGGAGAGAGAGGAGAGAGGAGAGAGAGAGGGGGAGAGAGAGAGAGAGGAGAGAGAGAGGAGAGAGAGAGGAGAGGGGAGAGAGAGGAGAAAGAGAGGAGAGAGAGAGGAGATAGAGAGGAGAGAGAGAGGAGATAGAGAGGAGATTTGATTTTTAACAGACCTTTATTTGTCTGTTAAACAGGTTATATTACATTACATATTACACATTGTAATGTATAGGAAAAACATAGTTTCAAAATCCAGACATAAAAGTGCAAAAAGTGCAAATACTGGCAATAAATAAACAATGCAACACTTCACACACTTCAATTCATAGGTTTACAACGATAAAAAGGCAGAAAAAAACAGCTCCCCCTCCCTCACAGAGCACACCTCCCTGAACCCCCAGCGCTCCTCAAACCCCTCCTGATCCCCATTTATCCTGTAGAGACCGAACTCCAGCCTGAGTCTGGCCTGGACCATCCGGACCAGCAGAGCCCTGGGACTGATCTCACCCTGGTCCTGGACCATCCTCCTCCTGCTCACATAGACGGCCATCTTGGCCTGACCGACCAGGAAACTGAGCAGGCGCCCCCTCCTCCTGCTGCGGTTGGAGTACCTGACCCCCCCCCACAAACACCTGAGCACTAAACTCTGCCCCCAGTGAAGTGAAGAGGCCCCTCAGCAGCTCCAGCATGTGCCTGAGCCTCCCACACTCCCAGAAGCAGTGGAACACTGTCTCCCTCTCCCCACAGAAGGGACAGCCCTCCCCCACAGCCCTGTTCACCTACACACAAAGGCATTGACTGCTATCGCCCCATGCAGCAGCCTCCACTGCAGGTCCCCCTGTCTCTTGGTCAGAGGGGGCTTGTACAGGGCCCCCCAGGCCGGGCTGAAGGCGGGGCCCAGGTGTGACCTCCACACAGTGTCTGCTCGGTCACACAGTCTCTGGTGATTCAGGGCCTGGACCATGAGGCTGTAAAAAGTCTTCCCTGAAGCAGCCTCCAGAGAGGCAGCTACTGGACTGGCCAGCAGGGGCCCAGAGGAAGAGCCCAGGTCCGGGCTGAGGATGAGACTGGGGAAGGGGTCAGTGGGGTCAGGGGTCAGTGAGCCTGAACTGTGTCCCTCTAACAGAGTCCAGTCCTCCTCTGTCAGACCCTCTCTCCAGAAACACAGGAGACGCTCCAGGGTCCGACCCGGCCTCAGGCCCAGGTGGACTCCCAGTGCCTCCCAGTCCTCCAGCTGAGGACCACTGACATTGTGGAGCTGCTGCACCGAGACTACCCCCCCCAAACTGAAACGGCCCCGCAGCACAGGCCCCGCCCAGGCAGGAAACTCCAGGGGCCGCTGTAGGAGCCAGTGCAGAGAGGAGCTCTGCCTCTGCCTCTTCACTCTGCTCCACACCGAGAACAGCCCACAGTAGAAGGACGGGAGTCCAGCTGGTGTGTGGTCACTGAGGAACCCTGGGAGCCCCAGTCCCCCCGCCCTCTGCAGGATGGAGACTGCCAACGGTCTCCACAGCAGCTCCTCTGGCCCAGCTACCAGTCTCTGGAGAAACTGTCGCCTAAAAGCAGCTCCTCGGCTGGCCAGATGGACCAGACCTTGGGCTCCCTGCTCCTTCGGCAGAAACAGCACTGCCTGGAGGACCCAGTGCAGCTTGTCCCAGAAGAAATCTGAGATCAGTCTCTGGATCTGTGAGAGTAAAGAGGGAGGTGGGTCTGTGCTCTGCAGCTTGTGCCACAGAGCGGAGGACACCAGGTTGTTGGCAACGAGGACCCTCCCTCTGTAAAACATTTTAGGCAACAGCCACCTCCATTTACTCAACCGCCCTTTAACTTGCTCCAGAGACTGATCCCAGTTCCTCCGGACATGACCAGGGCCGACGAACACCCCCAGGTGTTTAAAGCCCCCTGTCCTCCACACCAGTCCCCCAGGCAGGCTGAGACCCCTCAGGTCCTCCCCGAGCAGAGTGGCCGAGCTCTTGCTCCAGTTCACCCTGGAGCTGGAGACCTGACCAAAGACCTGCACTGTGTCAGCCAGGACCTCCACATCCCTCTGGCTGTTAACGAACACAATAAGATCATCTGCGTACGCAGAGACCTTAAATGGTCGTGCTCCAGGCAGCAGAACCCCCTGCAGGTCAGCTCTGAGCCGATGCAGAAGGGGCTCGATGGAGAGGGAGTAGAGCATCCCAGACAGAGAGCAGCCCTGCCTGATGCCCCTCCCCACACTGAACGGAGCACTGAGCCCCCCATTCACCTTCAGTACACTCATGACGTCACAATACAGAGTCCGGATGTGGGCGATGAACCCAGGGCTGAACCCAAAGGCAGTCATGGTCTGCCAGAGGTACTGGTGTTCAACCCGGTCAAACGCCTTTTCCTGGTCTATGGAAATCAGTCCCAGGTTGATTCCCAATGAGCCGGAGACCTCCAAAACCTCTCTGATCAGGGTGATGTTATCCCCTATGAGCCTGCTGGGCACACAGTACGTCTGGTCCACGTGGATGACCGAGGCCATGACCCCTCTCAGCCGGGACGCCAACACCTTGGACAGGATCTTGTAGTCCATGCAGAGCAGCGACACCGGCCTCCAGTTCTTTAAAGGGGCGTTCACACCGGACTTAACTTCGGCGTCAAAAGCGTCAGGTTTGCATTGAAAGTGAATGGTGAAGCGCGTCAGGTGAAGCCGAGAGCCCCGGCGTCACTTGACGCGCGTCAAAAGCTTCAAGAGTCGCGCGTACTACGCGCTCACTTGAAGCTTTTGACGCGCGAAACGCTCGCGTATCACAACAATCCCTTTGACGCCGAAGCTGAGCAAAGCTGAGCTTTTGAAGCTTTGACGCGGGCTTCAACCAATCAGGAGACGAGGAGCAGCAGCAGCAGAGGGTCTGTCTCTGTCATGAAGAGAAGTCATGCTGCTGCTGTTTTATTGTCATTATTGTTATTAGTAATATTATTTGTATGAGTAGTAACATTCTGAGTAACAAAAATCATTGTACACATGCTGTGTAGTAAACGTAGTTTATTTAATATAAGAACAGGCTGACGATGAGTCTGGTTCAGAGCAAGGCAGCTCCGGGCGGGCGAGAGCCGGGGAGAGGCGGGGAGAGGCGAGCGGGAGCCGGGGAGAGGCAGGGAGAGGCGAGCGAGAGCCGGGGAGAGGCAGGGAGAGGCGAGCGAGAGCCGGGGAGAGGCAGGGAGAGGCGAGCGAGAGCCGGGGAGAGGCAGGGAGAGGCGAGCGAGAGCCGGGGAGAGGCAGGGAGAGGCGAGCGA